CTCATAATTCATGAACAAGCTAGGTAGAGTTTGAGGGATTGGTATGGACATGTGTGCTTATCCCCCAGATGATACAAAGTTTAGGAATTACTTCACATCTATTCTTCTATATCGTGCGATTTGATTTCTCAATGCTAATTGAACTTCTACTCTTTTCTTTCGCAGATGGCGAGAACATGTACTGCTTCATTAGCTGATTAGCAGCCCGAGCCCCCAGTGGCAGCTTCTACGAGGGGCAAAGGACGAGGCCGAGGCCATGTTAGAGGCCGAGGTAGGGGCAGGGCTCAGCCTAGAGCTCGAGCTGCAGCACCAGCAGTGGAGCCTCAAATGGAGTTCGATGAAGAGGTTCTGGCTCAGACCATTCTGGTAGGGCCAACTCAAGTTCCCGAGGGGTTCATCGCTACCCCGACACTTCAGGATGCTGTGGTCCGTCTAATGGGGCCTTATGGAGAGCGTAGCTCAGACTGGCACATTCCCTGTAGCACCAGCCGTCTCTCAGGCTGGGGGAGGAGCCCAGACTCCCGCTACCCACACTCCGGAGCAGATGGCACCTCAGTTCCAGACTCCAGCAGCTCAGCCAGTGGGAGTAGCTCAGCCAGTTGTTGTGGCTCAGGCCGCTGGTGGATCATCTATGTCTTCTGAGGCTTTGTTGAAGTTGGATAAGTTCACCATTCGGTGCATTTAAGTAGGGCAGCTTCTGAGGACCCTCAAGATTATCTTGACCGCTGCCATGAGGTATTGCGGAACATGGGGATAGTAGAGACCAATGGGGTCAAATTTGTTGTATTCTAGATGATAGGGTCGGCCAAGAGATGGTGGAATGATTTTGTGTTGACTAGACCAGCTGGGTCGCCTGCCTTGACTTGGGACCAATTCTCTCAGCAATTTCACGAGAAGTTCCTTCCTGTTACTCAGAGAGAGGACTACCGCAGGCGGTTCGAACATCTTCAGCAGGGTCCTATGACCGTCACTTAGTACGAGACTAGGTTCGTTGATTTGGCTCATCATGCTCTTCTTATACTCTCAACCGAGAGAGAAAGAGTGATGAGGTTTATTGAGGGACTTACTCAGCCTATCAGATTGCGGATGGCTAAGGAGACAGGGAGCGAGATCTCTTTTTAGGATGCAGCCAATATGGCCAGGCGGGTTGAGGCAGTTTTATCTTAGGGGAGTGGTTAGGGGTCTGACAAGAGGCCTCGTCATTCTGGTAGGTTCAGTGGTTCCTCGTCTTTAGGTAGGGATTCTTTTGGTGGAGGCCATCCTCCCAGGCCATTTCATTCATCACTTCAGGCTTCTCACGGTGCTCCAGGTGGTCGTGGCCCTCATATGCAGTATTTTGATCATCTACCCTCTAGTGCACCACCAGCTCCTATCAGTGCACCTCCGCTCTAGAGTTTTCAAGGTGGTTACTCAGGCCGTTAGGGTCAGTTTCAGGCTCAGCAATCTCAACAGCCGAGGTCTTGTTATACTTGTGACGATCCGAGGCACATTTCTATATCTTCCCCTCGAGCATCGAGCAGTTCACAACATCAAGGTTCTCGTGCCATGGTTCTAGCACCAGGTGTTCCACCGGCCGCTTAGCCAACTAGAGGTAGGGGTCAGATAGCTAGAGGTGGAGGTCAAGCCGCTAGAGGTGGTGGCCAGCAAGCAGGAGGTCGTCCCAGGGATGTAGTTCCGAGTGGTGGGGCCCAACCCCGATGTTATGCTTTCCCAGCTAGGCCTGAGGCTGAGTCATCCGACGCTGTTATCACAAGTACTATTTTAGTTTGCAGTAGAGATACTTCAATTCTATTTGATCCAGGTTATACATACTCCTATGTGTCATCTTATTTTTCTACGTATTTGATTGTGCCTCGTGATTCTTTGAGTGCTCTTGTATATGTGTCCACATCGGTGGGTGATTCTATTGTTATAGATCGTGTCTATCGCTCGTGTATGGTTATTATTGGGGGCATTTAGACCCCTGTAGATCTCCTACTTCTGGATATAGTCGATTTGATGTCATTTTGGGGATGGATTGGCTGTTACCTTATCATGCTATACTGGACTGTCACGCGAAGACCGTGACCTTAACCTTGCCGGGGTTGCCTCAATTGGAGTGGAGAGGGACTCCTGGTCATTCTACTAGTAAGGTTATTTCTTATATGAAGGCTCGTCGTATGGTTGAGAAGGGGTGTTTGGCTTATTTGGCTTATGTTCACGATTCCAGTGCAGAGGTTCCTTCCATGGATTCCGTAACGGTTGTTCGTGAGTTTCCAGAGGTATTTCCTGCAGACCTACTGGGGATGCCACCTCACAGGGATATTGACTTTTGCATTGATTTGGCTCCGGACACTCAACCCATCTCTATTCTGCCATATTGTATGGCCCCGCTAGAGTTGAAAGAATTGAAGGAACAATTGCAAGATTTGCTTAATAAGGGCTTCATTAGGCCTAGTGTCTCGCCTTGGGGTGCGCCAGTGTTATTTGTAAAGAAAAAGGATGGATCAATGAGGATGTGCATATATTATTGGCAGTTGAACAAAGTCACCATCAAGAACAAGTATCCCTTGCCGAGGATTGATGATTTATTTGATCAGCTTCAGGGTGCAAAGGTGTTTTCAAAGATTGATTTGAGGTCTGGCTACCATCAGTTGAGGATTAGGGCATCCGATGTCCCTAAGACAGCTTTTCGCACTCGGTATAGGCATTTATGACTTTCTAGTGATGTCATTTGGGTTGACAAATTCCCCAGCAGCATTTATGGATTTGATGAACCGAGTGTTTAGGCCGTATTTGGATTTCTTTTGTGATTGTCTTCATTGACAATATCTTAATATACTCCAGCAGCTGGGAGGAGCATGAGCAGCATCTTCGAACCGTTCTTCAAACTTTGAGTGACAGCCAACTATACGCTAAGTTCTCGAAATGTGAGTTTTGGTTGAGTTCAGTTGCATTCTTGGGTCATGTTGTATCAGCATAAGGTATTCAGGTGGATCCTAAGAAGACTGAGGCAGTCAAGGACTGACCTAGACCCACAGAAGCTACAGAGATTCGGAGTTTCTTGGGCTTGGTGGGTTATTATCGTTGGTTTGTGGTGGGGCTTTCATCTATAACAGCCCCGCTGACCAGGTTGACCTAGAAAGGTGCCTCGTTCAGGTGGTCGGATGAGTGTGAGGCGAGTTTTCAGAAGCTTAAGACAGCTTTGACTACAACGCCAGTGTTGGTGTTGCCCACAGGTTCAGGGCCCTATACAGTATATTGTGACACATCTCGTATTGGACTAGGTGCGATATTGATGCAGGGTGGCAAGGTTATTGCATATGCTTCGCGGCAGTTGAAGATTCACGAAAAGAATTATCCAGTTCATGACTTGAAGCTAGCAGTCATTGTTCGCGCACTGAAGATTTGGAGACATTATCTATATGGCGTATCGTGTGAAGTGTTCACGAATCACAAGAGTTTGCAGTACTTGTTCAGAAGGATAAAATTCATTTCGGGCACTTGAATTCACCTTTGTAGATTTTTTTGTACATTAGCATTAAATTCTGATCGTAAAACGGCAAATAACCGGCGATTATCACGTACAGAATAATACCACATGACCATATATCCATTTTGAAAAATCCATACCCGAAAAGTTCTTCTCTTTTTCTATTTTCAAGTCAAAAATTAGTTCTCAATTTCACAAGAAAAAGGGATTTCAAGTTGAAAGCCATTGTCTGATATTGATTTTGGTTCTTTGGTTTACATTACATTCGTTGCCGTACACCGTATCACTCCATCCGGTGACTCCATCGTTCTTTCGCCGAATACGGCAGAACTGGTCCTTTCTTTCTTTAATTTCATTTGCAAGAAATTCAATTTTGTTTTATTTAGTTTATTTTTTGCCACTGCAATATTTTTCTAATACTTTTTCTTGCTCAGTAGCAGATTCCAACAGACTCAAACTTTTTCCTGCTTTGAATTGAGATTTTACTCAGATCTTGACACTTTCTCATCCAATTTTTTGTTCAAATCTTGACACTTTTTCATCCAATTTTTGCTCAAATCAGTTTGTTTACTAGCAATTTGAATTGGGTTTCCTTCAAAATTTTCAGCTTTCCAAGTTTTGTCTTCGTTCCTTTCTTGAAAGAAAAAGCATGCATTTTCGAACTGTCAATTATTTCTTAAAGAAACAATAGTAATTCAACCTACCTGGTTATACTTGAAAAGTTTGTTTTGTGAATTTTGAATTAATAGTCACCATATCTTTCTTCAAAAAAAAAACTTTTTTTGAAACGGAATTAGGGAAGACCCGTATTCGCCATCGGAATTATTTGCCGTCGGAACGCCCTATTCTCTTGGTTCAATGGGCATTTGTGTGTTTTGCAGGTATCACTTGGTGGCTGTTTGGCGGCGGTAGGGAGGTGCATGCGCACAAGCAGTAGAGCAGCAGCTATACGCCGGGTTTCACAGTATCGGGAGTATACCAAGTCAAAAGTTCCAAGTTTTATTCGCGGGAATTGGTACCTCCCGCCTCCTGTTTCTCTGTCTCATGTGTTAGTTACTTTGTTGTCATAATATTTCGTACTAGTCTAGTCAGTCTAGTCTATGTAGTGTTTTTTCTTTTTTTAACTTTACACCATTGTAGGTATAGAGACTGTGGTTTGTAATGCCAGAGTAGGGTCATGTCCTCGGGGAGTTCGGGTAGTAGAGAGGTGGAGAGGGCAAAGGTCAAGGGTTGGGACGGGGCCCGAAGGGGGTAAAGGGAACAAGGTCTCCTGTAGGTTGAGAATTGGATCGTGGAATATAGGAACATTGACGGGTAAGTCTATAGAGCTGGCAAAGATTCTCCAGAAAAGGAGGGTCAATATAGCGTGTGTGCAGAAGACTAGGTGGGTAGGATTGAAGGCGAGGAATGTAGACGGGTATAAATTGTGGTTCTCCGGGGTCATGAAGGGCAAGAACAGAGTGGACATTTTGGTGGATAGAGAGCTCAGAGAGTCGGTGGTAGAGGTTAGGCGGTGAATGACAGATTGATGGCGATTAAGGTAGTAGTTGAAGGGAGCACTCTGAATGTCATTAGCGCTTACGCCCCACAAACGGGCTTGGACGAGGAGGTTAAAAGGCACTTCTGGGAGGCGATGGATGAGGTGGTACGAGGTATTCCACCTACGGAGAATCTATTCATAGGAGGGAATTTCAATGGTCATATTGGGTCGTCTGCTGGTGGCTATGGTGAGGTGCATGGTGGCTTCAGCTTTGGTGATAGGAACGGGGGTGGTACCTCACTGTTAGATTTTGCTAGCACTTTTGAGTTGGTAATCGTGAAGTCTATGTTTCCTAAGAGAGAGGAACATTTGGTTACTTTCCGGAGTATGGTGGCTAAGACATACATTGACTATCTCCTCTTCAGGAGGTATGATAAGGGGTTGTGCGAGGATTGCAAGGTGATCCCGAGTGAGAACCTCACAAATCAACATAGGCTCCTGGTGATGGACGTGGGTATCTTGATGAAGAGGAAGAAGAGGTTTGTATGGGGTCAGTCGAGAATCAGGTAGGGAGCTTTGTCTAAGGATAATGCACGGGAGTTGGAGGGGCGGTTGACGACTATGGGTGCCTGGAAGAGTGGTGGGGACGCTAGCGCTATGTGGACGGCAACAACGGATTGTATAAGGGAGGCAGCGAAAGAGGTGTTGGGAGTTTAGAAAGGTTACTCTAGCAGGCACCGAGGCGATTGGTGGTGGAATGACATGGTCCAAGGTAAAGTGGAAGCCAAGAAAGCGGCTTACATTAAGTTAGTAGAGAGCACAGACGAGGATCAGATGAGAGCGAACAGAGAAAGATATAAGGAGGCTAGGAAGGAGGCAAAATTAGCGGTCATAGAGGATAAGACTGCTACATTTGGTCGGCTGTATAAGGAGCTTGGGGGCAAAGGCGGGGACAAGAAGTTATTCCGATTGGCCAAAGCAAGAGAGAATAAGGCTTGCGACTTGCTCCTATAGGCATGCTTTCTATGCGGTTGTCCACTTTAGAACACCTTTATAGACATAATGAAATGTAAAAATCCTATAAACATGATGTCTGGGTACTATGTATTATATGAACATGATATCTAATTGCAGTTGGTTATTAAGACCTATAAACATGTTTGCCTAATGAGAAGTGGATATGCAAGATTCAGAAAATCCTATAGGCATATTTTTTACATGCATATGCAAAATTCAGATTTCGAATAATTATAGACATGGTATCTACATGAGAGCGCAGAAATTCCTATAGGGAGGTTATCTAATATGAGAATGTAGAAATTCTATAGACATGGTATCTATATGGAAGTGTAGAAATCAGAGATTCTTATAGACATGGTATCTATATGGAAGTGCAGAAATTCAGAAACTCCTATAGACATGGTATCTATATGGAAATGTAGAAATTTAGAAACTCCTATAGGCAGGTTATCTACACCTTTTTGCATACATAGTTACCCCTCCCTTTTCACTAGCCATCCCCGAGAGTTTTATTACAAAGTTATAGCCCAGAAAAATAAAGTAAAGAAAAATACATCAGAAATTAAAATACAACCAAGGAGAGCTTGATTCAGACTTTCTGTATGAAGTATGAAGTAAACCGACTCCAAGAGATCATATTTCAAAGCCTTTCTAATCTGAATCGCCTCACTCATTTATAAGCCTAAAATCAGCAATAATAACGCATTACCAGTTGTACAATTGGCGATCTTTTGCTAAAAGCTCGCCTTTGTTTCTTCAGTATGTAATCAATTCACTTCATTGTTTCTGAAATCAATAGTCATCATGCATATAGGTCTTCATCCAACACTTAGGCAAGCCGAAGGATAACTTATAAACTGAATCAGATTTTTTATGCTACAACCAGCAGGCAGGCCTGATTTGGGCTTCTTATCTGAACTATGTAATAAATCAGTCTGCCTCGACCCTTTAAGTTTTAATCAAACCCTAAACAGTATGTGTAAGTCATGCTAACTACTTGCTTTCTCTGTTTAAAGGAGGTCTGTTTGAGCCTTTTCATTTGTTTATATGCTTTCCCATACTTGCCATATATGTTTTGTTTGTCGCCTTAGTATTTTTACCTTTTGAAACCACAAGTAAGCCCAATATCCCTCCCATTTAGGATTAGTAGTCCCAAATGCCTCAGGGACTGATAGGATTGGGGCGTGTAATAGCATGCAATCAGTAAACGAGATCATTCCGCGTTTTAATACCTTAATGGGTGGGAAAGGTAGATATGGATATGATGACCTCGCGGTAACATCACGTGTAGCCCCTCACTGAGGAGTGATTACCGGATGTTGTGTGGGGTGATCCATATTATTTACAAACCTAGGACCCTTTTTCCTTTATTTATTTGTTTCGTTGTTTATTCTCAAATTTCAAACTATTTTCTTTAAAAAGAATCAGCTTTTCTTTTAGTTCTTTTAACTTCACCTATTTTGTAACCATTACGTGAAAATCCCCTCTTGTTTGAAGTTCTTATTTGCCTACGTGTTATTTGTACCTAAAGTCACAACAATTATTTGGCCGGGAACCACACTAGTGGATCCTGAGGGGTGCCTAATACCTTCCCCTTGGGATAATTTCAAGCTCTTACCCAATCTCTGGTTGCTCAAATCAAACCCTTCTTAGTGTCCTAATGTACTTAAATCATTAGGTATCGACTCTTCAATTCAAACCCAATTCCCGAAAGGGGACGAGTTGTCTTCCCAAATGTCATAAACCCGATTTCACAAGAAAAAGGGGGCGTGACACCTCCAGAGCGAGAAATTGAGTTGTTATTGACCTACTACCAGATACGCATCCAATATCTATTCCCCCTATAGAATGGCCCCTGCATAGCTGAACGAGTTAAAGGAACAACTAAGGGGCTTGCTTGAAAAGGACTTTATCAGATCTAGTACGTCACCGTGGGGAGCACCTGTGTTGTTTGTGAGAAAGGAGGATGGTTCCTTATGAATGTGTATTAATTATAGGCAGTTGAATAAGGTGATGATCAAGAATAAGTACCCGCTCCCGAGAATTGATGATTTATTTTATCAGTTGCAAAGTGCCAAGTATTTTTCAAAGATAGACTTGAGGTCTGGTGTCATGCCCCGAACCTGGAGCCGAGACCAGCACCTCAGTGCCTCACATATCCTTGCATACCAACTTGCAACTAAGGGACTCTGAACATATGATGTCATACTTTGGCCATGGGCTACATTTCAAGATAACTGTGAATGCTGACTAAATGTTAATATAAAACTGGGCCGACAAGGCCGTCATAACTATTACAGCTGACAAACCAACCAAATATACATACAAGGCTTGCAAGCCAAACATATTGCACTAACTGACAAGATATGTCTACAAGCCTCTACTAATCGATATACTATGATTGAAACAGCTCCCCTACCTACTCATAACATATATACATATATATACATGAGGTACATAAGGCTCTAGACCCGGAAACTCCGAAAGGCATGGAGCTTACCGATCAAGCTGAACTCGGGCAACACTTATTGAAGTGGCCTGCCCATCTGTCTGTCTGACCTACACGCATGAAATGCAGTGCCCCTAGAAAAAGGACGTGAGTACGAAATAATGTACTAAGTATGTAAGGCAATATAGTGAAAGCTGAAACTGAACTGATATTATAATAACTGCAAGTAGCTGGAAGTCATAGATAATTTGAAGATATGCTTACCTGCTGATACTGACTCAACTCTCTCAATATATAAGTAAAATAGTTATCCGCCCCTATAAGGCTCGGTATATATATAACTGCTCTACCGTAGTAGACTCGCTCATAGGCACTCGGCCATACTAGGCTCGGTATCTCGACTAACTGGGCTCACTCACAGGCGCTCGGCCATAGTTGGATCGCCATATAACTTACTATCTGATCAGACGTTGCCCAATAGGGGCCTGCCCATCGATTATAGCTCGATGGTAATAAAAATACTTTAATACTGTATATAAAAACTCTCTGCTTTCTTTACTGGAAGACGGAAATACTCAATGGAATATGAAGTCCAGATAAAGAAAATATTATAACTTGCGAGACTAGCAAAATATACGTAAATTCCGGGATATGAATTTTTCTTTATGCCTCGTTATCAAACTTGTGTAATTACGAGATAATGCTAAAATGAAGAAAAAGCTTAGCCTTAACATACCTAGAGTAGGGAAAACTCCGTATAATATTCTTGAAAATTGCACAGTACTCTTTTGGAACCGCATAATTTTACGTTGCGATGATTCTAACATTTTTTGTTGGAAACCTTCGTGGATTGAATTTAGAACCCCAAAAATCGGATTGAATTCTTGCTTTTGTTCTTGAATCCTTGAACGAATCAAGCTTCAATTCTTTGAATTACTTGGAACGAATCAAGTTTCTGCTTAATGAGGCATTCTTGAACTAGAAAATATGGGGTTTTAAGAGCACACTGATGACAGTACTTGGTTAAATGCTTGTTTAATGAACAAGAATGGTCTAGCCATATCAAAGGGAAGTGAAATAGAAAATTTGAATCAACTTTTACCAAGCAGAAAACCCAAAACTCCATTTTTTACATTCTTAGACGTTGGTGGAGTCCTTTTGATGTATAAATGTCTTGTATACCACAAATTAGCTTGCCACCTATTTAACCAAGACTAAGAGTCATATAGTTAGTGTAGTGGCTTGCTGCCACATTTTTGGAGGGGAGGGAAAGGATTAATCTTAGCCAAATATATTCCCAATTAATTAGGTAATGTCTCGTTACCCGGTAATTAATCAATTACCCGCAAAATTGAGAATTATTCCCATTTACTTAAAATATTACTCACTTTTCACATACCTTATACACCTTACTAACATGGTCATGTAGTATCTTGTATGACACTAGTCCATAAATACCGGGTATTTTAGCTCGGGCCGTATTTTACCCAAAATGCCAAACTTCGACAAAATTCATTTTCTTCGATATTACTTACCCTCTTACCTTCACGAATTTACTCATCACTTATAATCCTTATAATCCCCAAGTAATCTTTTCCTTGGACTGATGTCAATTACCTTACAACAAATTCAACGTACAATACTGCAGGGTGCAACATCGTCGTAACTTATTACTGCAAAGCGTAACATCACCGTAATGTAATACTGCAGGGTGCAACATTGTCGTAACTTAATACTGCGAACCATGATATCACCGTAATATAATATTGCAAGGCATAACATCATCGTAATATATTACTACAGGACGCAACATCATCGTAATATATTACTGTAAAGGGTAACATCATCGTAATATATTACTGCAGAGCATAATATCATCATAATACTGCAAGGCGTAATATTCGGGTACCATCAAGTAAGAGTTAAGGATGAAGATATTCCGAAGACAGCATTCAGGACTAGATATGGGCACTTTTAGTTTCGTGTTATGTCGTTTGGTTTAACGAATGCCTCAGTAGTATTCATGGATTTAGTGAACCGTGTTTTCAAGCCCTTTTTAAGATCTGTTCGTAATCGTATTTATCGGTGATATATATTGGTA